TTTGAATAAGAAGCTGGAGTGTTGCAAGGATTAATGAGCCTTGGGCCACACATTTCACACCAGAAACCAGCAGGGGGGGGTCACTTACAGATGACCCAATCGTAGTTTGCCTGGCCCAACGCTGGTTTGGGCACGGAATAGGCTGGCACAGTGGGCACCGCTGCATATTTTACTATTTTGAATAAGAAGCTGGAGTGTTGCAAGGATTAATGAGCCTTGGGCCACACATTTCACACCAGAAACCAGCAGGGGGGGGTCACTTACAGATGACCCAATCGTAGTTTGCCTGGCCCAACGCTGGTTTGGGCACGGAATAGGCTGGCACAGTGGGCACCGCTGCATATTTTACTATTTTGAATAAGAAGCTGGAGTGTTGCAAGGATTAATGAGCCTTGGGCCACACATTTCACACCAGAAACCAGCAGGGGGGGGTCACTTACAGATGACCCAATCGTAGTTTGCCTGGCCCAACGCTGGTTTGGGCACGGAATAGGCTGGCACAGTGGGCACCGCTGCATATTTTACTATTTTGAATAAGAAGCTGGAGTGTTGCAAGGATTAATGAGCCTTGGGCCACACATTTCACACCAGAAACCAGCAGGGGGGGGTCACTTACAGATGACCCAATCGTAGTTTGCCTGGCCCAACGCTGGTTTGGGCACGGAATAGGCTGGCACAGTGGGCACCGCTGCATATTTTACTATTTTGAATAAGAAGCTGGAGTGTTGCAAGGATTAATGAGCCTTGGGCCACACATTTCACACCAGAAACCAGCAGGGGGGGGTCACTTACAGATGACCCAATCGTAGTTTGCCTGGCCCAACGCTGGTTTGGGCACGGAATAGGCTGGCACAGTGGGCACCGCTGCATATTTTACTATTTTGAATAAGAAGCTGGAGTGTTGCAAGGATTAATGAGCCTTGGGCCACACATTTCACACCAGAAACCAGCAGGGGGGGGTCACTTACAGATGACCCAATCGTAGTTTGCCTGGCCCAACGCTGGTTTGGGCACGGAATAGGCTGGCACAGTGGGCACCGCTGCATATTTTACTATTTTGAATAAGAAGCTGGAGTGTTGCAAGGATTAATGAGCCTTGGGCCACACATTTCACACCAGAAACCAGCAGGGGGGGGTCACTTACAGATGACCCAATCGTAGTTTGCCTGGCCCAACGCTGGTTTGGGCACGGAATAGGCTGGCACAGTGGGCACCGCTGCATATTTTACTATTTTGAATAAGAAGCTGGCCGAATAAGAAGCTAACTTCAGCCTCGTCTTCCCCGATGACAAGAAGACATAAACAGAAAGTGAAAGGAAAAACTGGTAATAAGCTCCCACAAGATGTCTAATCAAACTAGTATTATATCGGTGCATGTGAATGGACTTAATTCCCCCCTCCCCCCAAAAAACACTGATATTTAGTAAACTGATGAAGGTCAAAGCAGGAATAACCTGCATTCAAGAGACACATATTAAAGATAAAGACAGACAATTGCTTGTTGTTGTTTAGTCATTAAGTTGTGTCCAACTCTTTGTGACCCCAAGGACCAGAGTGCACCAGGCCCTCCTGTCTTCCACTGCCTCCTGGAGTTGGGTCAAATTCATGTTGGTCGCTTCGATGACACTCTCTAACCATCTCATCCTTTTTCCTCCTATTCTCCTCTTGCCTTTACACTTTCCCAACATCAGGGTCTATTCCAGGGAGTCCTCTCTTCTCATGAGATGGCCAAAGTATTGGAGCCTCAGCTTCAGGATCTGTCCTTCCAGTGATCTCTCGGGGTTGATTTCCTGCAAAATGGATAGGTTTGTTCTCCTTGCAGTCCAGGACTCTCAAGAGTCTCCTCCAGCACCACAATTCAAAGGCATATATTCTTCAGCAGTCAGCTTTCTTTATGGTCCAGCTCTCACTTCCATACAACACTACTGGAAAAACCATAGCTCTAAATATGTAGACCTTTGTCGGCAAGGTGATGTCTCTGCTTTTTAAGATGCTGTCTATGTTTGTCATCGCTTTCCTCCCAAGAAGCAGGCATCTTTGAATTTTGTGGATGCTGTCACCATCTGCAGTGATCATGGAGCCCAAGAAAGCAAAATCTGTCACTGCATATCTTCCCCTTCTATTTGCCAGGAGTTGACAGGACTAGTGGCAAAGATTTTAGTTTTTTTTATGTTGAGCTTCAGACCATTTTTGGCACCCTCCTCTTTCACCTTCATTAAGAGGTTCCTTACTTCCTCCTCACTTTCTGCCATCAGAGTGGTGTCATCTGCATATCTTCTTGTTGATATTTCTTCCGGCAATCTTAATTCCGGTTTGGGATTCATTCAGTCCAGCCTTTCTCATGACAATATACAGCCTTGTCGTACTCCTTTCCCAGTTTTCAACCAATCAGTTGTTCCATATCCAGTTCTAACTGTTGCTTCCTGTCCCACATATAGATTTCTCAGGAGATAGATAAGGTGTTCAGGCACTCCCATTTCTTTAAGGACTTGCCATAGTTTGCTATGGTTCACACAGTCAAAGGCTTTTGCGTAGTCAATGAAGGAGAAGTAGATGTTTTTCTGGAACTCTCGGGTTTTCTCCATAATCCAGTGCATGTTAGCAATTTGGTCTCTAGTTCCTCTGCCCCTTCGAAATCCAGCTTCTACTTCTAGGAATTCTCAGTCCACATACTGCTGAAGCCTGCCTTGTAGGAATTTGAGCATAACTTTGCTAGCATGTGAAATGAGTGCAATTGTACAGTAGTTGGAGCATTCTCTGGCACTGCCGTTCTTTGGGACGTCGCTTCCCGACGATTGGTTCCCTGCTTCGGGAACCAATTTTTCGCTAGATGTTTTTTAAAAAAGTGATCAGCAGCTTCAAAATGGCCACCCACTCTGTAAAATAGCTCCCCGCTGTGTTTTTGGATGGATTCCTCACTGTACAGGCACAGAAAATGGCCGCCGCTATGGTGGATCTTCACTGGACGGTGAGTTTTCAGCCCATTGGAACGCATTGAACGTTTCATTAGAATGCGTTTCAATGGGATTTTTTATTTCGCTTAATGAGGATTTCACTCTACAGCAATTTCGCTGGAATGGATTATCCTCATTAAGCGAGGCACCATTGTAGATTTTACCTTTTCCAATCCTCTGGCCACTGCTGAGTTTTCGAAGCTTGCTGGCATAATGAGTGTAGCAGCTTAACAGCATCATCTTTTAAGATTTTAAATTGTACAACTGGAATGCCATCACCTCCACTGGCCTTGTTGTTAGCCATGCTTTATAAGGCCCACTTGATGTCACTCTCCAGGATGTCTAGCTCAAGGTCAGCAACCAAACTATTTGGGTTGTCTGGGCCATCCAGATTTTTCTGGTATACTGTAATTCCTCTGTGTATTCTTGCCCCCTCTTCTTGATGTCTTCTGTAAGGTCCCTCCCATTTTTGTCCTTTATCATGTCCATCTTTGCACAAAATGTTCCTTTAATATCTCCAATTTTCTTGAACAGATCTCTGGTTTTTCTCTTTCTATTATTTTCCTCTATATCTTTGCACTGTTCATTTAAGAAGGCATTCTTATCACTCCTTGCTGTTCTTTGGAAGTCCCTAAGTTTGGCTTAGATTATATCTGACTAGCCCAGTGGTTTTGCTTCCTTTCTTCAGTTTAAGCTTGTGTTTTACTATAAGAAGCTTATGATCAGAGCCACAATCTGCTCCAGGTTTTGTTTTTGCTGACTGTATAGAGCTTCTCCATCTTTGGCTGCACAGAATAATCTGATTTCGGTATTGTCCATTTGGTGAGAGGCTGAGAGGATTCTGAGATTCAGGCTGCTCTGCAAAGTTCTGTACTACCTGAGCAAACTATTTACAGAGGGTATTCTTGGGCAAGGAGCCGATGAGAGGGCAGGCTAACAAACATGGTAGGCTAGAAACCACAATTTATAAGTAGAGACTGGCAAAACGTCAGGAAGAAGAACCTTCAGAACACGGCCAAAGAGCCCGAAAAAACCCACAACCGTTAGATCCCAGCTGTGAAAGCCTTTGCGAATACTGTACAGAATTACAATTCTCTGGCAAAATCCTGGATTGGAGCCAAAACAGTAATTTCAGTTGAGGAATGAAATTAGCATAAAGAGGCTTGGCAGAGTCCAGCAAGAATAGAGGTCAGGCAGAGAAAGTCACAGCAAGAAGAGATACCCCAAAAGATTCACCCCAGTACAACTAATGTGGCTACTAGATGCCTTTGATATGGTTTCCGGCCAGGCTGACTAGTTATCTGGCCCCTTGTCAGCCGTGTGTCCTGTTCCTCGTATTAACCTGGACAATACAGAGCAATAGAATGGGCCACTTGGCTAAACAGAATTCACATCCTCTTCTTTTTGCCTCAACTTCCATTTGCGTCGCCTTCCTTTTATCGTTTCTCATTTTATTTCATCAATGCCGTTTGTGTTGTACTTTTCCGTTTCTTTAGATCGGAGCGCTGATCACAAAACCACTAAAGCCTTGCAGAAAGAAAGAAAAAATCCCAGCTTTCGATATTTAGCCTATGCAAAAGAGTGTCTCAGGGTCCGGAGCGCTGGGACTCGACCGTAAGGTCGGGATGGGGTCGTCGGGACTAAAGATCAGTTTGGAGGCGAAGGGTGTTTTCCAGCAGGCTTCTCATCATCACAACGACCTTGAATCCGGTTGTTGTTTTGGATCCGGCTGTGAGATATCATGCGGTTGGAAAATCGGGCAGGGTCAAGCCCACAGGGACATGGGTTTTTCCTGGCACTAAAACATGCGATAACTCTGTCACATCCCCGGACTATCGCTACGTCACTCGGCGGCATTCATAAGACCCGCCACGCCAGGGCAAATCGAGTCTGCGCTCCCCTATTTAAAAAAAAAAAAAAAAAGAAAACCTCCGTATGGTGGGTCAGCCAATCGAAGAGACTGGAAGGGGAGAGTAACCCCGCCCCGAGAGGCGATAGTATGGGCGCCGCCTCCAATGTTGCTTCACCGTCTCTACTGCGCAAGTGCAAGCCGTTTGTTATCCTTCCTCTTCCGGTGTTAGCGGGGGGTTTGCCGGAACCCCTTGGAACGGAGCGGTAGAATGCGAGCGCGGTTCGGTTATTTTCCGTTTGCGCTTGGCATCTTTCGTGTCCGCTCGGGGCTGGAGAAGAGGCTCGCAAGGGAGAGTCAGCCCCATGGAGACCGAGGAGGCGGCGGCGGCGGCGGCGGCCGAGGCGGAGGGGTCGGGCCCGTGCCCCGAAGGTGAGTAGAGAGCAAAGGGAGGGTTTCCCGTCGGGCGCCAGCCGCTTAGCCTTGCCTCGCCTCATGGCCAGTCGGAGGGAGAAGACATCAAGGGAGGGGGTGGGCGTGTATGGAGGGAGCTCCTTTTGCAAACACCCCTCTCTTGACTTCGGGTGGCCCTGCATCACAGAGTTGCCAGGAGCTCCTTGGAAAGAAAGGTTGGGATTCAAATGTGATGTTTCAAAGCGTGTTCCTGGACGAGCGAGGGTTAATTTGACTAAGGAGCCCGATTATCAAACAGCACCCCCCCCCCAGAATGGGTTTCCAGTGAGTAGCCTGGTAAACATATGCGGCATAATAGCGGATGCTTAACTGCCTTTGGGCATTAAGAGCCCATTCCCGCCACCCATGAGAAATCATAGCTAGCCCTGGTCAGGTTTTGTATATGAGAGAAGTCGGGGTTCATTCCAGCGGCTGTGCGTCTCTGGGCAGCCAGATGTGTGGGGTGTGTGTCAGCACGTGGTGGATTGTGCAGAAGGCCAGGTTGAAAGCAAGTGACTTCTCTTGTTTAAAGCCTTTCTCTATTCAGCTGCTTACCCCACCCAGTTTAACTGAACCAGGGTTGATTGAGGTGTCACATGTGAACTCCTTCACCAAGGACAGTTTTGTGCTTTAATTCTTGCACTAGGATCTATGCGCCCAAGCTTCAAATCCTGCTTCATTGCAAGTTCTGGGTAATGTGGGGCCACTCAGGCGCTATCATTTTACAGGGTCATTTTGAGAAGAAAAAAATGTGTGGAGAACAATGAATTCCTGGAAGGAACAGTAGGATTAAAATATAAGTTAATATAAATTAAAATAAAATATTACTAGCTTGTATATCTAAAATTACAATTGACATGGGATGAAGACTTTTCTAGTACTTAATTTTTCCCCAAAATTTTTCTGCAAAGCCATTTTCATATACTTTAAACATATTTGTAACCAGACGCCAGTTAAATGAAATCCAAGTACAGTGGTGCCTCGCATAACGTTTTTAATTGGTTCCAAAAAAAAAACCTTATGCGAAAAAAACTTTATGCAAAACACCATTTCCCATAGGAATGCATTGGAAACCGGTTAATCCATTCCAATAGGCACGGATTGCCGTCCTTAAGCGAAAAAACCCATAGGAAACATCGTTAAACGATACAATGTTTCCTCCATTGGAATGTATTGAAGCCGACTCAATACATTTCAATGGCTTTGCGAAGTCAATTTTTGCAAATTTAAGTGTGTCATAAAAGGGTCAAAAATGGTTTTAAATGCTTGGATTAGCTTCTGCACCCTCTAAAACGGATGCAAAAGTTAATTTGGCTTTGATCTGACTTTTCGTTAATTTATGGTGAATTTTTCCCCCAACTTTTGACAGCTGTCGAAATCTGACAGCTCCATTGTTTCCTATGGGGGAGAAAAAAATTCACAAAAAATTAACGAAAAGTCAGATCAACGCCAAATTAAGTATGCACACATTTTAGAAGGTGCACTAACGATTCCAAGCATTTAAAACCGTTTTTCAACATGTTAAGACACTTTTGTAATTGAAAAAATGAACATCGTTAAGTGAAGCAGGGGACCTAAAACAAAAAACGTTAAGCGAAGCATGGTCCCAAAATCGCTATGTGAAAATCGCCCATAGGGAAAAACGTTATACGAAGCACAATCTGACTCTGAAAAAATAAACGTTAAGCGAAAAAAACGTGAAACGAAGCAAACGTTATGCGAGGCACCACTGTACGTTGCATTCTGCCCCTCTTATGTTTTTTGGGTAAGTGAAATTACCTATCCCGTGGAATTGGATTGACTCAAGATGATAATTGATCAATTATCCATCAGTTTGTCACTTGATTATTACCACCATATGAAACAAATAAAGTTGTTGTTCATGATACATGGTAACGATCTGGTACTGATGCTCTATCTTTATCCAATCACAAATGTTTTACAGTTGATACCTATCTTTCTCTAGTGTTCTTTCTCTACAGCTTTTAAAGAAACAAAGGCCTTTGTTCAATCCGTACATGGAAGTGCCAAGTTTTCCTTTATCTGTTTCATGTTTTATTTTCAGAGCCTGAAGTGTTTGAAATTGTTCTTCCTATTACTGTGATTGAACTGAGCGATGATGACTTTTTGGAAAGTGAAGATGAAGGGCACACAGCTGTGAATGAAGATGGGTGTCCAGTTTCTCAAGCAAAAGAAGACAGTTGGATAGATAGTGAAAATGAAAAACTGTTGAGCAGTAGTAACTTTAAAAGGAGTAATGGAAAAGAACAGGACATATCATTTGAAGCTGTGACAGAAAAAGAAGATGATGATAAAGATATGCCTGTTTCATGTGAAAATCTAAACTCAATCCAAGTGGGCGGCCTTCAGAATGTACTGGATAATATTGACCATGGTCAACACTTGGTAATGGGCTACTTTGACCACAAGACATATAATGTGACTGAAAATGAAAATGTGAAAGTAAATCATTATGAAATTGAGCACAACTATTTCCAAAAGATGGTGGCTTCTTGTCTGAACGCTCACAAGGGAGAAGACAAGCTAATAGTTGGAGGTATTCAGATGTTTCTTACACTTACACAGGAAATAAAAGCAGTCCTTAAAAAAACTATTCAAAAACTGCCAGAGGGTCCTGACATGAACAGAGGTATTAATTGTAAAGGTAAACATTCTTTTCCAGAAGGAAGCAAAGTTGTGATGTTGATAAGTCTGTTGATTTTGTTCTTGGTTGGGCAGAGAAATTATGTTCACATGCATAGTAATACTTTCTGTAAGAGCGAAGCTTCAGACAAAAAGTATTGTCAACTTAGTGCAGATCCTTTTGGGGTGGGGGTAGTTAAAATGTCTGAATGATATCAGTAACCCCAGTTCAAGTGACAAAAAGTTGGAAAATGTCTCAACACTAAAAGAAAAGCTAATCACTGTAGTCAAGTTTTGCAGAAGTTCTATGGAAATTTTAAAGTTAATTGACATAGAGAAAGGACTTTAAAACCAAGTACGTAAGTAACTGTATAATTGCTTTTTTGCCCTCTGTGGTCAGAGAGCCCTCTTGGGTTGTGGCCTGGCAGCATTTGGAAAACTTTCAGGAAAAGTGAGGCTGTACATATGAGGCAAAGACAACCACATATCTCACTCTTACAGTAAATATTGATTCTTCGAGTTGGCCATTTGTACCTTTGATGAACATTAAGTCAAATGGGAAGTAACAGGTATTGACAGAATACACCAGTCATGACTTGTAGTTTACTGATTGCTAAACGGGCTACTCTGTGGATTAAAAAATACTTCAGATAGTATCAGCAGTAAAAATTCTTTTGCCTTGATTATTAGTTTTCTGTCTTTTCTTGAAAACAAGGACTAGTCTCTGTGACTGGAACAGTGATTCTCAACATTTCCCAGATTGGTTGAAATCCAGTAGTAAGCTGCAGCTAGAGTAGTCCCATTGAATCAGTGGAGATTTAGTTCCATTAATTCAGTGGGCCTGCTCTTGTTGTATCTTAGTACTGAAGCCAGTATCCCACCATGACGGGGGGAAAGAAACTGTTTCCTTAAGGGACTTCTATATTTCCACAAGTATTCTGTTAATACCCTTCCCAGTTTTACTAAGTTTAAGGCATAAAAAATACAATTTTTTAATTAGGTAAACACAAACATTTACATCAACAGCTTAAAACTGTAATAGTGTTGTTCTTAGTAATTTATAAAAAATGCCCTACCTAGTCTACTGTGTCTTACCTGTGGCACATGCATGACTGTTAGGTTACCATTGGATTTATGGCGCAATTGTTAAACAGATCAGGAAGGAGTGCAATCTTGAATCAAGCAACAATACTTACCTTACTCATTCCAAGGTAATTAGATGCATTCCTGTGGCTCTAACAGCATATGGGCAGGTGTGAAAAACACATTGAATTTACATTCTTCAGTCCTCCATCTGAATTGTTTTTAAGATGGACACCAGTGGAAGGATAAGTTGGAAGGATCAGTTCATCTTTCTCTGTGCTCCTGTATTCTGTGTATTCTTGCAGGAGGCAGAGGATGTGAATTTAGATAGCCTAATCTGGTCTGAGTGGGATGTGGTGGCACTGTGGGTTAAACCACAGAAGGCTTTGTGCTAGATTGAATCAACGTGACAGAGTGAGCTCCCATCACTTGCCCCAGCTCCTGCCAACCTAGCAGTTCGAAAGCATGTAAAAATGCAAGTAGACGTGTGTTTGCGTGGGCATGAAGGAGTAGGGGCGCTCGCGTTTGCGCACACACACTCATCTGCATGTGCGAAGGGGTGGGGGTACTTGTATGCATGCTCGAAGGGGCTATGTGTGGGTAAGTGCTGGAGGCGGGAGATCTGTCTCCATGGTCTGGCCCAGGCCACAGACCAACACCAGGCCACGGACTGGGGGTTGGGGACCCCTGATATAGAGAACATATTAAGTACCTGAGGAAATACATGGAACTCAAGTACAGTGGTGCCTCGCTTAGCGATTGCTTCGTTTAATGAAGAATTCACTTAACGATGTGTTTCTTGGAGGAATTTTCTGCATCGTTTAACAATGTTCTCTATGGGGGATTTTCACTTAACGATCTCTGTTTTCGCTCATTTTTAAGTGTCTTAAAATGTTTGAAACCTGTTTTAAATGCTTGGAATTGGTAGTTCACCTTGTGAAACCTATGCAAACTTAATTTGGCTCTGTTCTAAGTCTTTGTTAATTTTTGGTGATTTTTTTGTTTTTCCCCTTTAAATCCATTGAACTACCGATTCCAAGCATTTAAAACAGGTTTCAAACATTTTAAGACACATAAAAATGAGCGAAAACAGAGATCGGAAAGGGCTTCAAAAGCACTGAAGCCGGCTTCAGTGCTTTTGAATGGCTTTCCCTTGGGGGAAACATTGTTTCACTTAGTGATGTGTCCTATGGGGATTTTCGCTTAAGGACGGTAATCCGTTCCCATTGGAACGGATTAACCGGTTTTCAATGCATTCTTATGGGAAATGGTGTTTCGCTTAACGATGTTTTCCCATTGCGATGTGTTTTTTTTTGAACCAATTAACATTGTTAAGCGAGGCACCACTGTATTAAAAATAACTATAAGAATTATGTTAGAATTTTATTGAGAAACCAATCAAAGCCATTTTAATGGGAATCCTGGATCTGCTTCTAAGACTTATTTCCAACTTTTGTCTTGCTGTGTTAAATTATTATATAATAGCAGTCAAATTAATATCTGTCAGTCCAGAGCCATGACCATGCATCCCTTCATCTGCATCATGCATCAGAACTGGAATGAATAAAAGAGTATGAGGGACAATGGGGGAAATGGAATGGAATGCCTATGTGTGTGAGAAATAAAAAGAAATGATGGCTCTGGACATCTTTCTATATTCATCCAGAAAGGGACATTTTGGTATATCTTATTGGTTCTGATGACTGTTAAATATTTTGATTCTTCAGGCCAGTGGAACCACTGTATCCAGTACACATTGGAGCAGCTGGTGATAATGGGACCAGACTGTCAAAGGAGAATGCATATTGGCTTCTGGAATAAAGAAGGGTTATTGTTGCTAAATTATCCAGATTGTAATATGTAGTTGATCTTATCAGGATTTGATTTTGATACTTACGTTTTATTTAAGGAAACATAATCTGAGATAGAAATTAACAGAATTAAATTCATTTTTGATTATATAGAAAGTTTTTAACAATGAAACAAGCTAGGAAAACCAAAACACCCAGACATTTATAATTCCTACAGGGGGAAAGGAATTGGGAATGTATCTTAACTGGTTATTAAATGATTTTATTCTGTTCACTTTTTAGGTGCTGCATGTTTGGACAACGGATTTAATAAAATTGACAACAGACATAGACAGTGCAAGGAGCTTCAGGAAAATGTATTTTTGGGAAGGAAATGTGAAGAGGGTCAGAATACTGTAGATCAAGGCAATTTGATCGTTTCGCCTTCTATGAAAAAATATGGTTCTCTGGATGATTTCTCAATAGATGCTGGGGATCATGCTAATCTTGTGCTACATGCTGCTTGTCATTTTATTCAACCCTTAGTTGCTGATTGTCTTGAGGAGTGTGTTGTACAAGAAGATTGTAACAATTCTTATGAGGGTATTCCATGTGACCAGCAATTGCAGATGGAACAGCCTCGGGAGACATTGCTGCTAGGTAATAACCCCAAGACCAAGACTCCATTGATCACAGCTATGGAGAAAAGTGCTAAAAGGAGAGGAGCTAGGAAATGCTTGTTTTGTAACTTGAGATATACATCTTCCATATGTCTAAGAAAACATATCTGTACTACTCATAAGGATAAAAGAAGATACAGTTGTAACTTCTGCTGCAGAACATTTTTCTTTTCTGCCAGCCTTCAGCGTCACCATCAGTTACATAAGAAAATGGCATTATTAAAGAAGAGGAGGAAAAATAGAGACAATACTAGAGGAAACAAGAAGAACAAAGATAGAATAGCTTTGAAGAAGAGAAAGAAGAAAGAAAAGAAGGCCATGCTTAAACTATTCAAATGCCATCAATGTCCTTATTCGACTAACAGAATCAGCAACTTGCAGGTACATTTTAGTGTCCACACTGGTGAAAAACCATTCAGGTGCCAAGAGTGTGACAAATCATTTCGTAGCTCCAGTCACTTAAAACGGCATAACTTAACTCATATGCGGAAGCATCACAAATGTAACAGCTGCCTTTTCATAGGCTGCACTGTAGAAGAACTTAAGGTACACCAGAGAACTTGCTACAGTGAGGATCCCATAAGAAGTCAGCTTTGGTCATCACCTTCCAGATGTGCAGTTACAAAAGTACAAGCAAACATGCCTGAGCAAAAAGAAAACACATCTCTGTCTGAAGGCATAAATTTGCAAATTTATAAATGTGAGCAGTGTGATTATGCCACCCACATGTTAACCCGTCTAAAGCATCACAGAAAAATACACTCAGGTGAGAAGCCATATTGTTGTGATGTGTGTGAGAAAAAATTCCGTATGTCAAGTCACCTGAAGCGCCACATGTTTCTGCATCAGAACCTAGATTTTCAGGGGAAGTCTCACACACATGCACAGAAACATGACAGGCCAAGCAGTTCGGGTTGTGAGATATCAAGGCCTGTTTCAAAAACATACATTTGTGATTATTGTGGTTTTGTGTTTCACAGAGAAGAACACTTGCAGTATCACAAAGCTGTTCATTTCCAAGATCAACCACATGAGAATATGACTGATGAGGATCTTGAGGAAGGTGCTATGTTGTCTGTTGTGCAGCCTTCTCATGGATTGGTTCTTAAGCTGTTCAAATGCCACCAGTGTGCTTACACCACTAACTCATTTAGCAACTTGCAGGTCCATTTTAGTGTCCACACTGGTGAAAAACCATTCAAGTGTCAAGAGTGTGATAAATCCTTTAAAACCTCCAGCCACTTGAAGCGACACAGTGTGTTACATTGGTGGAAGCCTCATAAATGTGAGAGCTGCCACTTCATAAGCAGTACTGTAGAAGAACTTAAACTGCATCAGGAAAGATGTAATGGTGAGGAACCTGAAAGAAAGCGACTTCGATCATCAGCTTTAAAATGTGATATCGCAGAGAAACATACGAATATGGCTAAAGGAAAGGAAGACGCATTTAAGTCTCAATACTTAGATTCAAAACTTTTCAAATGTGAACAGTGTGACTATGTCACCAAGAAATCAAGTCACCTAAAGCATCACAAATTTCGACATCATCACTTGAAACTCCTCACATGTGGGAGCTGTGACTTTTCGACAGGCAATGGGCAGTGCTTTAAAAAACATATGGCTTCACACACAAATACAAAATCCCCACAAAAGCAGCCTGCCTTGTTTGTCAAGGTATACAAATGTGAAGAGTGTGACTACGTAACTGACCGTAATGGAAACTTGAAGATACACTTACGGACACACACAGATGAAAGGCCACATAAATGCTCTTGTTGCAGTCTTGCTTTCCGTACATCTAGCCACTTAAACCGCCACTTAGCAACTCATTTAAAATGGAAATGCACCAAATGCAAGTTTTCTGCATTAAATAAGCAAGCCTTGGAAAAACACAAACAAATTCACAAAGAAAAGAAAAGTCATGAGTCTCATAAGAAGAAAAAGACTCTTGAGACAAAGATTAACAGATGCACTAAATGTAGGCTGACATTTTCCACAGCACGCCTTTTAAAGTTACACCAGAAAAAGCATGCTGAAACAAAAGATTAAGAATCTTAAGAGGTAGCATTCTTTTTTTCTCATCTTTTTTCTTTCCATCACCCAAACATGCAGTCTGATACTTTGCCTCGACACTCATCTTAATGAACCATGACTTAATTGGCAGTGAAATCTTCATTCTTGCCATAAGCCTTGAATACAGCCAGTCAATAGCATACCTTCCTGTGTTTCTGTCAGCATAGTGTTTTATGTAATAGAAAGGAAGAAGGTGTGCTGTATTGACAATTCTCTGTAGACCAAAGGTCATAGTTGGACCTTACTCTTGGATTCTTCTTAGGCATTGCATCTTACTGAGGGGAAGTGTACAGTGGCCTGTTTTGTATTTCACTCTAACAGTGGTTTTCACTATAAACGTGATTGAATTTGGGATTTGATTGTTATTAGCATGCTAATACTTTCCTGAAGGCTGCAAAATGGATACTGCAAAAAGTAAACTTAAATGCTAAAAACTAACTTTTCAGGAGGTTACATAGGCATGCAAATAATTATAGATGTTGGCTGAAATCCTGTTGGCATACATTTATACTGTGCAAACCACATGCCATTGACTGGTAATGGAAATCTTAATTACATGAAAACTTCCTATCCCGCCCCCTTTCCAATTCCAAAACGCCCTAGATCTTTTTTGCCCTTGGGAAGCTTTTGGGGTCCTGCGGGCAGGGGGAGCTTTTAATACATGGCGGGAGGGGGACTGCCAATAATTTCCTGATATTAATGAGTTCCTGCTCGCATCCCAAGCCTCGCAAAGTCTCCACAAGGTGAAAGGCATACATTTATGTCAGGATTTCAGCCATTAATATGTACTAAATAAATTACAGAAAATATATTTGGAATTTACAGGGGTTGGCCAATGTGTCTTGATGATTTCTAAGGAATCTGCTGAAATGTCAGAACTTGCAAAAGGAGGTGAAAAAAATTAGTAGTTTATTCCTAGACAGTATGTTGTTCCAATAGTAATGACAGTGTAAGAAATTTCTGGTATTCATAATGAAGAAATTTGCAAATTATGGGTAAACAGTAGTGCCAACGTCCTTGTTCAGTGTGGCTGATTATTTCACTCACATTTGCATGTAAAGTGTTACAGTACTGGCAGTATCTCCTGGAGAGCTTCCACACCTTAATATCAGTGTTCCCATTTCATCTTTCTTGTGCAGATCATCTTTCTTGTCAGATCACCACCACAGGTTCTTTTACTGAAAAGGCCAGGGACCTGTCCGGAAAGTGAGCAAGGTTTCCTTAAGAATAAGGGAGCTGTCCAGCAAGTTATAGAGCTTTGTACCTAGATGCACTGGTTCATCTCTGATAGCTAGATATCTGCTAGAAAGCTTTATATGTACCCTTGCTGCACAGACCATTTGTCAGGCCTAATAGAGTGCTGATTCAGAGAAGGTGCCAACTTTGCTTTCTTTTTCCACAGTAATGCTCAGGGAGGAAGGCATAGTTGTTAGGAGGACATAATGTTGTTTTTTATGGGCCTCACTTTGAACCTGTTACAATTTGGATCCCTGGCATGCAATTTGGGATGCTCTGAAATTGGGAGTAGTCATTGTATGTTGGTGCCTTAGACTCTGTAGTTACCTTAAGTGGAGCGACTCCCTAAGTTGCTATTTGAGAGGATTTGTGTTTTTTTTTTCTACTGGAGCCTCATGCATGCTTGGGCCAATAGTGGGGTGATCCTTTTGTTGAGGAATCATTCTGGTTCTCATAGGACATATTGTTTTCTAATAATTCTCTGTCACTAGATGCGTTTCCAAAGGACACAAAACTTGAAGGGTAATATACTGAAGTTTATCACAGAGATGCAAATTTTATGCGGGTATGTAAATAGATCCTTCATTATTTAGCTTCTAAAGTTTCATGGCAGGACTACTAACTGTTTTTCAAAGTCAGGCCTTCTGGAATAACAGAAATTAGAATTGTAGATAAATATTCTTAATGAAACTGTAGATTTAGTCAGGGTCTTTGTAGACTTTACACCAAACGATTTGGGTGCAACAAGAGAATCTTTGCAATACTGCTAGAGTTACTTTTGCCCACGCTTGATGATGACTGCAAAGAATGGTGGAAACTGACTTGACTCTTATGTCTCCCTATAAACTAGAAGCAGTCTGTACTTCTCATCAACATGGTTTATCCCAACATAGCTCTGTACCATTTCTTGGAATGTGTTATTCAGTACACAATGAAGACTTTGAGAGGTTGGGAAAAGGATATGTACACTATATACCACCAGGCCTCCACATGATTGAGGATGGCATATGATTCAGTGTGCTTTCACAAGTTTCCATATGCTTATCTGCACTGAAAACAGTGCCATCAGTATTATCAAGTGGAAAGGGCTGGCACAAAAGAAAATCAGCTGAAAAAAATCTTTTATGATTTTTTTAAAAGCTAAGTTGCACAAAATTTTGTATAGGATCAAGTGAGGAACTTTTGGCTCTCCATTGGTTCTAGGCTATAATTCTCATAATCCTGTAAAGGTTGTAGACCAGAAGCCACGTCAAAAAATTACTGTATGTTGTTTGTCAAGTTAGTTAGCATAGACAAAGCAATTTTTGTAATTAGGCTTCAATTTGGTGTTTTAAGTAATTAAGGCTGTTTGTTGCTGAGGGTGATTGTTGGCCAAATTATCTAGTGGGCCATATGACCGTCCACTGCTGATTTAGGAAATGAGAGAATTAAAAAAAATTGAACTCCACTTAAGTGCACAATTAATTCAGCATTGTAATCCAATTAGTCCATTGCTTTGCAATCCAAAGCATTGTATCACTGCTGATGCTTGGAGCTTGGCAAACATTTATTTCAAATAACTGATTGTAAAATTGCCTGATTGTGTCTGTAGTGTATGCTTTTCCTAGAAAGTCTTGAAATAAGAGATGAATTTTGCCTGAATGAAACTGGGAAAAAGTTACCCAGCTCTTCAATATATTTTAGCATGTGTTAGGGAGATGGATGAGAACAACACTGATATCAATATTTAATATATTCCTCTACACTGTTTTCTGATACGGCTAAAAAATCTAAACTTTAATTATTGGTGTTTTCTTAAAGCAGCAAATTGAAGTGTAATTACAAAAATTGTTTTATGTATGTTAAATACCTTAACAAAATGTAATGTTTTACATTTTTCTTTTTGCCTGTTACCTGTGCTGCACCTGTGGCAGTTCGATGAAGAGACAATGTGTGTAGAGCATGTTCAAAATGTGAATACACATTGAATGTATATTCTATAGAGGCCTGGTTTTTTTGTACAATTTAGGATGCATTGCAGAAAAAAAGAGGTTAAATTGGATATTTTATATCCAAAAATCAAAATGACAATGTTACCATTGCTAGATCCTGCAAGACCTTTCTTGCCATTCCTGCAAGATTATTTCCTCTTCTGTATTGTATGTAGATAAATGTTTATTATATGTATATAATATATAGATTGGTGGGTGTAAGACATAAAAGATGATGTACTATATAGACAGGGCTGCACACCATTCGTTTTAGCTACAGTCCCCTGACGTGACTTTTCATGTCCTTTGTAAGCAAAATGTTCCTCACCCTTGGGGTACACCAATAGAGTATGCTGTGCTGATGTTTGGAGGACATTCTTGAAAATGATGTTTTCTCATTTGTAAATAAGCTTAACAGGTCATTAAATTCTGAAGGGGCTTAGTACTGGAATTATTAGTAGTGTGTTGATTAAATATCTTTGTCATGTTATTCTAAACTCTTCAGGGGGTGAATAAAAGCATGGCTTTCAAAGGAATAACCTCAGTATTCCTGGTCTTTTTAAAATTAAGAGGTGATTGAGGAAGCAGTCATGGAAAGTTCCTACTTCCCCTTGCAGCCTTTTGAAACCATCTTCTTTGTAAGGAACTGTATGCAATAAAGAGGGGTAGCCTGCAGATGGGGAAATTTGCCAGAAGAAACATGAAAATAAATGCTTCTCTTCCCCATATTGTCACAGAAGCTTCTGCTGTATCATAGATTCTCCTGTAAATGGACAGACAGCCCTTGATATAAAGAAGTGATTTTTAATATTGTACATAAACATTTGCACCTATAACGTCCCTGTTTTAAAAAATAACACAGATTTTAGGGAAAATCCAAACTCCTAAATCTACAGGTGACTAACAACTTTACATAAATCAACAATAAAAAAGCACAACACATGTAAGATTCCAAGCTCAGTAGATGTCTTCTTTAGGCTAGTTAGTAAAAAATTATAGGAGTAGGGGAAAATGTGGAAGCACACTAGTGTCTTGAATTCCACAGGTCTGAACAGCATAGTTTTTGTTATACACAGATATATATTTTTTCAGTAAATACTGTGCTGCTATTCATCTCCAGGAAGTGGCCTGAGAAGGTGTGGTGGCTGATAGTGGTGGTCTGGGCAGCCCCCTCTCTTGGCATACAGGATGGGAAAAGTGCTGGTATGGGTCAGGGGAAGTCTGTATTTGCGTGTGTGTTAACTGTTCATGCTTTGTAGTTATGTTTGGGAATGGGCATAAGAGTTACACACAGTTTGAACTACACAGAGGTGTGGCACCCCAACCCCATTATTATTGAAGGGAGAAGTATACAAATATACTGTATAGCTAGTGTTTCAAGTGATGGAGAACTGAAGCCAAATCCCAAGCTGGAAAATGCCGTTTGGTGAGTAATACAGCCATGCTGATATCACTTGATCTTTGACAAAACCCATTGGGAAGGGGACCTAATGGAGGCAGATACCTCTTCTCTGCAAAGACAGCAGCAGTATACATCTGTATTAAGTGTGGGCAAAATGTGTTGAATCTTTCGTAGGGCTTAGCAGTGAAAAAAAGTAACAGATTGAGGATAACAAGTTCTTTCCAAGCTCTGGGAAACACAAGGAGCACCTGCTTCTGCTTGCTTAGTTTTCTCATACTGGCCAAAGTACAGATCGGGCATGGGAGGATGGCAGACAGTGTTGACAGCAACAAGAAATCTGGTTTGCTTTCAAATCTTAAGGGCACACTTCTAAATAGCCCAGAACCATATACATTTTTCTTGTATTGGAGGCATTCCATTCCTTGGCAGTATTATGATCTAATAATAACCATGTTTTGTCAAGTCAGTTCTGGCATGGTGAACCTTTTCAAGTTTTTCCAGGTAGAGAATACACAGAAGTGGTTTACCATTCCCTTTTGGGGGCATCCTGGAACTGCGTAGCTTGCCCAAAACCACACAGGCTGCCTTGCAGGAGGTACAGTGGGTAATCAAACTCCCAAGCTCTACCTAAGCCTCTAAGCTATCCAGCCAGCTAATACTGTATTACATTAGATTTACGCATAGCCAGAACAGCATCAACAAGTGTAACTAGCTCAAATGCACCACACGGGCAGATGTTTAAACACTGGGCTGTCTACTGTGACATTATAATCACAGCACTATGCTGACGCCATAGGGTAGCAGGGAAGATGTGATTTTTCTTTTGTTCATAATCTTAAATATTAAACGAATACCTAACCACTACATGTTTTAAACCTCATATTTATCCCATACCTACCATACTGCAGGCATGTAACAGCAATACCTAAACTTTTGTTGTTACCCACACATCATACAACACATGCACTGCTTCTCTGGGTCTGCATTATACCTAATGGATGCCTGGATACCTCTTTAGAAGCTCTACTAGGCAAATTCGTCAAAATCATATTTCTTTCAATGTGAGATAAACCCTGTGGTTTCATGCTTCTGTTTTTTGCTAAAAACACAGCTACATTAAAATCTTCATTTTCTATAAGCAGCTTTGTTCCTGTGCAAGGGCTATGTGAGGGTAGATAGCTAAAGAAGTCAAATATAAATCCAGTAGCACATTAAAGACTTAATCATCCTCATCTTAGAGCTGCAGAGCTGGAAGGGACTCTATGGATTGAGCTCAGCCCGTCAAGGAGGCACAGTGGGAATCAAGTTCCCATCTTCTCACTCTGCAGACAGAGACCCTAAATCACTCAGATGCTTGAACAGTTTCTTCAGATACACACACATACATACATCACTCATCACAAGGCTCCAAGGTAAAAAATATCAATAATCTCTACATTAACACAGGTGATTCCTCTGTCATCTTCTTTCATCTGCACATTTAAAATTCTCTTTTTCGTACGTTTATCTTTTTAAAGTTTTACGTGAATTCCAAATCTTCAAGCTCTCCTCTCCCCCACATTCCTCCTCCCTCTTCTCTTTCCACCCAGGCCCGGTTTCTGTCTTCTGAGGAATTTTCACAGCAGAGCACCAAAGTAAGAGAAGCCATAAATCACTGCATGTAAATATAACATACATCGGAGCCAATCAATATAAAACTGATATTTCATTCAAGCTTTCATTCTGTTTCCATATGTCTGACAAAGTGGACATATCCATGAAAGCTCACATTAAAATATACAGTACTGTAATAGTCTATAAGGTGCTGCATGTTTTTGTCTGTTTTGTTTCTTTGGGTTTTGCCTGATACACATACACATGAACATTTATGCTGTTCAACATGGGGTACATTGTGGGGCAGACAATAGTACATGGGGGATAATCTGTATGTGCAGGTGCTCCTGATAACCACCTTCTCAGCCAGAAACCTCCCAATAAGATAGAGACAAAAGATATAAGCAGCGGGACCAGCCTATCTCAACCAGAGCAAAGCGCGGTGATGGTGGCGGCGTTTACTTTTTTTGTCTCTTGTTGAAACAGATAAGAAATGCTGAGGATTACACTGCTATTATTCACAAAATAGTATTGGTGGCAACAAGCACCCTGTCAGGAAGGAGCTAATCGAAACGGGTAGTAACAAAACAAGAAGCCCGCGCTCCATTCGAGGCGCAGGAAGGAAGTCCCTCCATCGCCTCCTACAAGGCGGCTCACTGCTCTAATGCGCACGCGTGCGAGCGTCCGAGCCCTCCTCCATTTTCCCCCCAATCCCAAGCCTGCCTGAACGCACGCCGTCGAGAGCTCGCCCTTTTCTACCGAGCGCGCCTGCGCACTGCGCTTATCGCCTCTCGCCCCGCGAGGAGGTGGGATCTACGTGCTCGGCAGTGAGCGTCCGCTCCCTTTCCCCGTCCGCGTTAAAGGCCGCCTGCCTCGCCGACCGCAAAGATGCCGCGGATCATGATTAAGGGGGGCGTGTGGCGGAACACCGAGGTAGGTAGCGACGGTCTCCGTTTGAACCGGCCGCCCACCTCCGTTGCCCGGAGGCCTGTGTCGTGAGGGGGTCAGCGCTGCGCATGCGCAAAAGGCCGAGGCGGCTGCGCAGGAGCTACTGCTCGGGGGAAAATCTCTCTCTCTGTGTGGCTATGAAGATCCGCAGCCCTCTGGAAGGGCTCAGTAAACATTAAAATAAAAAAAACAAAACCGTACAGAGGTTAATAGGAGTACCGGAAGTTTAGCCTCGTCCTGCTCATTCTTAGTTGGAAGACAGCCCCAGTGGACGTCTTCCCTTAAATGTTCTTGAGAGGAAAACTTTTAGAAGAGTAGAAGCTGATTCCCTGGCAGTGATCATCCCAGAATGCAAATATTAGGTAGAGTTTTTTTCCCCTGAAAGGATGAGAAAGCATTCTCATAGGTTTTTAAAAATTCGATTTTATTATATGCATTCCTTCAGCGAGAAAAAGCATTGTGCTGTGTGTGCAGCATTGTTCATTAAGAAATTAATGGTGGGAAAGCAAAGTAGAGAAACTTTACATATGTCTGCTTGGGAGAAAGTCCCCTTAAACTCATCAGTTTTTCCTTGAAATGTAGATAGGATTGGGGTGATAGGCTTCCCCACTTGAAATTGGAAAACCAGTGTGTTACCCATGAAGAAAATAAAGCTGAGGAAACTAATTTGCCATTTAGTTGCATGTTTTATCAGTTTTCCTATGAGGAAAATAAAGCAGAGTAGGTACTTTTATGAGTCCCTTTTTCCATATGATAAACAGCAAAAGCAATTATGTTTTAAAGTGATTTGATTGACAGCTATTGAACAAGTGACTGAAAATTAATTCTAGTATAAAATTTCTAATGAAGACATGGTGTACACAGTGGGAACCCTAGCAGATCAGACTAAAGTTTAATCTAGTTCAGCATCCTGTTTTCTGCAGGATCTCTAGATTTATCTGTCTTCTGTTGCTCCTCCTCACTGGCTTTTGGTCAGTGGCAAACATGCTCTGAATCTGCTTGTTAGGACATCATACTTAATAGATATATTATTTACTACTGACCAGTTCCATGCAGTTGTTATAGGTGATCTTCCTATTATGCCTATATTTATTTATATTGTATTAAGCTCTTGTCTTTTTTTCAGGATTCAAATGGCTCAAATCCTTTGTCTTTTCTCCACCATCACCTTTTCCTGACCTGCAGTTGTAAAATACAGTTTTGAATTTTCCATAAGCCATTCTCCCATAGTCCCAATATCTGTTTTTTGAACTTGCATGCAGTTAGGCCCAATCTGCATGCATGTGAAACAAACATTTTTGGACCCAGTGTGCATCACTTTTCCTTATATTGAACCCTATTTGCCATTTAGTTGCACGTTTTATCAGTTTAGCAGCCTTCACAAACCACTTTCATTTTCCACATCCTGGGTAATTTGGTATAATTGCCACTTTCTACTAACACCAGAACACTTTCTCCTGTTTTCTTTGGTCACTGAGATAATTGGATATTGGTCACTTGGATAATTTTTGGTCACTGGTATTGACCAGGTGACATATTTTAAAAAAATGTCTATATGGGATTTATTAAACAGTGAAATAACATAGTTGTTTGTGGAATTTCACTCCAAACTTTTCCAGACAAGAACACAAGCAGTCACCAGTGTCAAAGGCTTACAGAATGCCCTGAATTCATGTTGTTTGCTGTAGGAAACCTTCTGTGAGGCCTCAACCTACAAACTGAAATTGTTTCCCTTATTTCTTGATAGCTTAATTTATTTGTATTTAGCAATTATATTAGCTTTGGCAATAATTAAAGTACTTTTGTTGTCCTAGTAAAGCTTTTGATAAACCCAGTGTGGTGTAGTGTAAAGAGTTATGGACTAGTACTCAGGAGAACTGAGTTTGAATCCCCATTCGGGCATGGAAACTCACTGGGATGGGGATGGAATTGTAAAACTGTTCATTATTTGGAAGCCCTGTTAGGGTTGTTATAACTCCATTCCAACTTGATGACATGTAGCATAGTAAAGCTTTGAAAATATTTAACTGTTATTTGATGCATATGACTGACCACCTAGCCAAATTTTTTTTACTTGTCAATTGGTCAACTGTAGGAAAAGGTCTTCCAGAGACAAAAAATATGCATACAGGACACCAAGAGTTGCTGACTCTAACCTGCTGGTTTTTGCGTAATAAAAACCAGATCTCTTTGCAGAAAATGGTCACTTGAATAATTTCCCGTCACTGGTATTGACCAAGTGACATGTTTTTTAAAAAATGTGCTGATTATATATTGCACCATAGTGCTTAAAGCACTCTTGGATGGCTTGCAAATTAATTTGTACAGGGTACACATTGCCCCCCCACCCCCCAAAGCTGAGTACTCATTTTACCAACCTTGGAAGGCTGAGTGAACCTTGAGCTGGCTGCCAAAATCCACAACGCTTACCGTGAGCAGAATTTTGACTGTAATAGTTTGCCATGAATTTCTTAACCACAAATCCAAATCTACTGTTGGTAAATTGATTGTAGAGTTGGTGATATAATGTATTGTAGTCCTGTTTGTTGATGGGATACTTTCCCCCCAGAATGAACTAAGAATGAACTCCATATTATCTGGTGATGCTGGAAAAGAGGGATATTTCTGGGGTTTAGGAATCCTAGCAAAATTCCACATGGTAGGGTGCCAGAGTTTTTGTTGTCATACAGCTACACTGACTTGTGCCAGTGTAACTCATTATGTACTGTTTACTTCCTTATGCTGTGAGATGAAGAAGGCTGCTTTTCCCTTCTTGCTTGGAGAAATGGTGCAATGACTAACAATAAACATGTTTTTGTTTTGTTTTTAGGATGAAATTCTTAAAGCAGCTGTAATGAAATATGGCAAAAACCAATGGTCTCGCATTGCCTCTTTATTGCACAGAAAATCAGCAAAGCAATGTAAAGCCAGATGGTATGAATTTCAGTGTTGGGTCTTGGGGAAATTGGAGATGTTATGTGTGGAAAATGTTATAGCGGCTCATCTAGCAATGGCAGTCTAAACATTGGTACCACTGAGACAATATCACAGTTTGCACCAGAAATCCCTTCAAATTGTTTGAAGGAAATAATAATAAGCTCAAAATAAATAAGTGAATTTCCTTCTTCGACTTGTGCCACTGACTGGAAAAAATGTGTGCATTAATATAAGGACAAATCCAAGTTAGAAATCAGCTGACAATAACTGGGCCTGATGATAGATGTCGCTAGCATCACTATGTCCAGGAAATGATTCCTTCCCCACTTTGCATAGGTGCTGGAAATGTAAATACATCGTTGCAAAATTATTCATGTGCTACATCCTTTATGTACTACTTTATGTTAAAGTAGAATTAAAACTTTTACATGTTAAAACTATTTAGTGACCAGTTTGGCAGGAGTATATTATTGGTTGGTATCTTTTAACACCCAGGGTAGCGTAGCAGACTAGGATTCAGGAGGCTTGAGATCAAATCCCTGCTCAGGCATGGAAACTCACTGGGAACGTGGAACTGGAAAAACCATTCCTTGAATATTTCACTTACCTTGAAAACCCTATTAGAGTTGCTATAATTCAGTTCCAATTTAACGGCACATAGCAACATATTTTAATAATTATTTCTTTTAATAATTTTGAATAAGGTATGAATGGCTGGATCCAAGTATCAAGAAGACAGAGTGGTCACGGGAAGAAGAGGAGAAGTTATTGCATTTGGCCAAACTCATGCCAACCCAGTGGAGGACTATTGCACCCATTATTGGGAGAACAGCTGCCCAGTGCTTGGAACACTATGAATTTCTACTGTAAGTAATTCTCCTTGTAATGGGATCACTGCATGCTCACGGTTGTGAGCCTCTTTGGAAGCTTTGCAGTAACATATGTGTTGGACTTTTAGAACACTTGAAGTTTGATACTAAGCAATTATTAAATATACGTGTAAATTTTTGTTTTAATAGACTTCACAGGTAGTGCTGATAAGTGTTGGTTTACTGAGAACAAGTTTTTGGTGCCTTCAGAACGGAAAGAAGTATTTGTATCATATTTCTTCATCTTAAATTTGTTTCATCTTTGTGTTGCTGTTTTAATGTTATCTTTACAGTGATAAGGCTGCTCAGAGGGATAACGAAGAAGAAACAGCAGATGATCCTCGAAAACTTAAACCTGGAGAAATTGACCCAAACCCAGAAACCAAGCCAGCTAGACCAGATCCTATTGATATGGATGAAGGTATGTTTGAAATACTTCCTCTAAATTTGGCTGATTCTATTCCCACCCTCTCAATGGCATTCACTATTAATAGCAGTTATCTCTTGTGCCATTTCTGCAGTCTGCTGATGTGTACCCTTGCAGAGGTGAAGGCTTCACTTGTCTGGTGGACCCTTGCCCTTCCTAGCTTATAAAACCTGCCAGAGAAGGGGTCCAAGGGGCAGTGATTGCCTCTTTACAGCAGGATAGGATCCCAGCAGGCTTGAAGGAGGCAATAATACCATTATTGAAAAAAGCTCTCCTTGGATCCCACAGTACTGGATAATTGCCAGCCAGTCTCTAATATTATCGGGCCAGGTGCTGAAGTGGGTTGTGGCTTCTCAGCTCCAGGGGATCCTGGATGAGATGGATTATCTAGATCCATGTCAGTCGGGCTTCAGGCCTGATTATAGGACAGAGACTACTTTGGCCACCTTGGTGAATGACCTATACCTGGAACTAGACAGGGGGAATGTATCTCTGTTGGTTCTGCTGGATTTCTCAGTAGCTTTCAATAGCATCAACCATGGTATCCTTCTGGGAGTGTCTCTGACATGTGACCTGGGGGATGTGACTGATATGTGACTGTTTAACACCCTGGCCATTGTCCCTCAGGGTTCTCCTTTGTCCCCTATGCTATTCAGCATTCAATGTTACCATAGTGTCTCGAGACTGAAGGATGCCTTATCTATTCAGCATCTAGATGGAACTGCTGGAAGAGATTTTCTGGAGTTTGAGGGTTCGGTGTCACCAGTGTGCAAATGACACCCCACCTAAATCCAAGGAAGCTGTTATAAATTAGTGTTTGGTGTCAGCAATGGACTGGATAAGGGTGAATGCATTGAAACATAATCCAGACAAGACGGAGGTGCTCCTAGTCAGTTGAAAGGTAGATCAAGGAATAGGGTTGCAGCCTATGCTGGATGGAATTACACTTCCTCTGAAAGCACAGGCGTGCAGCCTGGGGATGTTCATGGATTCATCTCTGAGCCTGGATGCCCGGGTTTTGCCAGTGGCCAGGAGTGCCTTTGCACAGTTAAAACTAGTTCACAAGCTGCAATCATTTCTTGAGAGATCTGCTATGGCTACAGTGACACATGCCCTGGTTACATCTTGACTGGATTACTGTAATGCGCTAATTGTGGTGCTGCCTTTGGGAAGTGTTCAGAAATGAGTCCAAAATGCCACAGGCAGATTGCTAATTGGGGCTGGTTACAGGGAACACATAACTCCCCTGCTACAGCAGCTCCACTGCCTGCCAATCCATTTTCGGGCACAGGTCAAAGTGCTGATTGTAACCTATAATGTCTTAAATGGCATGGGTCCAAACTCTCTAAAAGATTGTATCTCCCTCTATGAGTCTGCCAAGGCATTAATATAATCAAGGGAGGCCATTCTCTTGGTCCCACCACCCTCATGTTGGGCAACATGAGAGAGGCCTTCTCTGTTGTTGCTCCCAGACTTTGGAACTCCCTCCCACGGGAAAGCTAGGTTAGGCCCATCTTTACTGTCCTTCCACAAGCAGGCAAAGACCTTTCTCTTCAGGCAATCTTTTCCTTAATTACTGTTGGTTTGAGGTAGATTTTTAAATATATTGTTGTCCTCTGCTGTTTTAAATGTATTTTAATATTGAATTTATTTACCATTTTTAATATACTTGTTTAAGTCTTTTTAATATTTGTTTATTTACAGTTTTTAGCTTTTGAATATTGTCTTTTTAATGATGTGAGCTGCCTTGGGTCCCTTTTGGAGAGAAAGGCTGAATAGAAATATTTTAAATAAAATTGTACTAACCTACAGATTTTTCCCTATGTTTGATAAGCTGTTTTTCTGTAGCAGAGGAGGACATCCTCAAGAGATGGGATTGTCCCTCCTCCTCAGTTCCACAGGCAGAGCTGATCAGCCAATCAGACAGCGATAGGACTCCCTTAAGAGGGAGGGACCAACCCTGTCTGAATCAGTTTCTGCCTCCACTTAGCACAGGCCTGCCTTGACCTTGTCTTCAGCTCATCTCTTCTTTTTTTCAATGGTTCTTATCCTTTTTCACTATATTTCTCAGCCATGAGCTGTACCTTCTGAATTCCCTCCACCAGATCCTGACTATGTCAGAGGCAGGGAGGGTGCTGGCTTGCCCAAAAGCTGGACAGCTGATCAGGAGAGGCCCACCTTGCAGTGCTGTGTCTCCTTCAAAAGGCTCTCTCACACACACACACACTGACCACACAAGAGGGGGAGCCAGCAGAGACCATCTAAACAAACTGGATATTTGGAGACCTGAGTTCGAGGATTCCCTGTTTCCTCCCATCATAGGTGGCCAGGCACTTCACCCAGAAATAATTAATTGGCTGGATAAAACTATTTCTTGGGAATCGGGAAGCCATTTCAGCTGCAGAGGGCAGGGAGCTCCTTTCCCTCTCCACCAGGGCAGCCTTCTGGGTTCCCCCTCCCCTGCCCCCTACTTCCTACAGTCTCCAAGACCGGCCTGTGCCCGGTAGACTCTTGCCTTCCCCCCTCTTCAGGGATCTAAGGCCCGCCATGGGTTTTTAGCAATATCAAAAATCAAACTAATCTCTGCAGCTAGACTAGCCATGTGCTTTCAGGAGTATAGGAAGTCCAACGAATTCTGCAGCCCAGTGATCGCCTTCAAGAAGTAATCATATCTCAAGCATGAAAAAGGGGAGTGACTGGGAGTAGGCTTCTCTGTTTCTCCCATGTAATCTGAGGTGCTATCACTCCCTTCCCCTTTTGCCTTCTTAAGGCAGATGGCATTGGGCCTGGACTCAAAAAAAATCAGGTCCCCCTCCATGGCCAAGGTAGACCTTTAGGAGAGGCAGTTAACTCTCCTTATATGTGCCTTTTCCCTGTCAGTTGATGGACATAATGAGAGAATGGCTAAATCTGGGCCCAGAAAGCTACCCTTGTTCAGATTAGCAGGTTCTGTAACCTATCTCCACCTGTTCTTAACAGAATCAAGTTCCTCTGCTTGATGCACCAGTGGCAATAACGGGGTCCTTCCTCCATGCCAAGAGAGCAAGGATAGGTTTAAACAACAAGAGAAAATCCATGAAGCTTCCTTTAATTTCAAGCCAATTTTAGCTTTCTCCGTCATGAGCAAAGCTTCTTTCCTATGGGCTAGAGGATTATTTCCATTCATTTGCCCAACAAGGGCTAAGGTCAATCAAGGCATTCAGAATACGATGAAAGCCTCTGCACTTGCCAGAGATGCATCCCTGTATATAATGCAGTTTATGTCCAGAGGCAAGCTGCAACAATGCTAGTTAGGAGACAGATGTGGTAGAAATACTGGCTCACTGATAGTATGGCAAATAATAATGAAGATGATGATTTCACCTTACGGTCTTTTAGCAGAGAGAAATTATTTTGGGAATCTCTGGACCCAACCCTGATGGAAACCAAGGATTAGAAAAAGCCCTACCTTCTGCACTTAGGGAAGAGGAGCAAATATTTCCCAAAAATCAGGCACCTTTCCCCCTTGGCCCTTTTTTATTATGATAGGATAATGCCAGACCAGCTCTCCGCCATTAAAGGAAGAAAGCATTTGTCACCAGGCACCCAAAATCACAACTCTTTCAGGATCACAGACTGGCTAACAAGAGCCCCAGTCTAAACAGTGCTCAACCTGAAGCTAGGCCCTCACAAGTTTGACAGGACAGACTGCAGGACTTAGAGGTATATGGGACACCCACTGCAGAGTTCAATGGGTACTGTTTAAAATTGGGGGTGTTACAGGATAGGAATTGAAAACATTCTCCCCCATTAAGAACTTTTTCATGCAGTCTCCAAGGCCAAGGAATATGGAAAAACATCATATTCTCCAGACCATTTCTTACTCGGTAGAGATAGGGGTCATAGAATTAGTGTCATCTTATCAAAAATTCTTAGACTGCTTCTCCATATAGGCAGAGTCAGGATAGGCAGACCATATTCATTACACATGTTGCAGACATGTTTTTTTTTGGTCAGTCTTGGGAAGAACCAGTTCCCATCTAAGATAACACACCTGGGTGTTCTCTTAGACACTGACCAAAGTAAAGTTTTCCTCCCTGTCAGCAGGATGGTAAAGATGCAGTCCACTATTCTGAAAGTACTACAAAGCCCTAACTCAGATGCCATGATTCTGTCATCTCACCTGCACATCCTTGTCCTGAATCAAGTATATCAGTCTCTGTACTAGTGGTTGAACAAGGAGATGAATTGTTGTTGTTATTGTTACTCCCATACTACTCCCCTTGGGACTTATTTTGTTGTTATTGTTACTCCTACTCCTACTCCCATACTACTCCCCTTGGGACTTAAATCACAGCAATCCTTTTGGGGTGGGGTGCACATCTCCACTCCCTCCTACCCCAGGGCAAGTGATGAGCAGAGGAGCCTCTCCTCCCAGCATAAATTGGCTGGAGTTGAGAGCAGTGTGGATTACTGTGGAATCCTTTCAGGACTGCATTCACAGTACCAGTAAGGACCATCCAATGACCACTAGGGTCTACATTACCTCATCAAGGGGGGACTCATTCAAACCTTCTGATGAAGGAAATAATAATTTGGGCCAGATCTTATTTCCTTTCCCTAATGGCAGAGCATCTACAGGGAATAAGGAACATAGAATCAGATCGGCTGAGAACTGGACAAGTGGAGCATTTCCAAAACACTGTTTCAGTTGATCACAGCAAGGCTCTTTAGTGCCTGCAGTGGACCTCCTTGCTTTCACCAAAGGACAAAAAGATGAGCAAGGTTCCAGCCCATGGGGGCAGAAGGCTTTGACTTGCTGAACTCCCCCTGGCCTGCATGACTTCTGTATGCCTTCCCATCATTACCATGCTGGGTCACTTTATCAGGAGAGTGAGACAGGAACTCAGGAATGCAATTCTCATAGACCTCTCCACTTGTAGTCAGGCTTGGTTCTCTAGGCTCCTCAGTTTGCAGTTGGGGTTTGCACTTCTTCCTCCATGTCAGGACCTCCTGAGCCAGGACAGTTTTCCACCCAGACCATCATATGAACTACAGTGGTGCCTTGCTTAACGATGATAATCCATTCCAGCAAAATCGCTGTAGAGCGAAATCCTCGTTAAGCGAAATAAAAAATTCCGTTGAAACGCATTGAAAACCCGTTCGATGCATTCCATTGGGCTGAAAACTCACCGTCCAGCGGAGATCCTCCATGGGGCGGCTGTTTTCGGTGCCTGTAAAGCGAGGAATCCGTCCAAAAACACAGCAGGGAGCCATTTTACACAGTGGGCAGCCATTTTGAAGCCCCCGATCAGCTGTTTTAAAAACATTGTCTAGCGAAAAATCAGTTCCTGAAGCAGGGAACCAATAGTCGGGAAGCGAATTTTGCCTATTAAAACATTGTTTTGCGATCGCAGAACAGTCATCATATAACGGTTTTGTTGTTTAATGAGGCAATCGTTAAGCGAGGCACCACTGTATCTTGATTTTACAGGAAGACTACCTCATGCATCTGTAAGTCCTCTGGAAAGGTGTTCCAAAGATACTAGAGTAGCTGAGGCAAAGGTCATCTAACTGTTTTCTGTTGCAACAGTGTCTCTGTAGTAGACAAAGACTGAGATATAATACTCTTAAGAGATATTGTACAGCCTTATCCTCCATTCTTCCAAGCAGACCGGACAAGCCCTGGGGGTCAGACTCGGATATTAAGACATTTCATTCAAGGAGTATTCCTTTCTCTGTCCACAGGTTTCTGAGCTGGGATATCCCCATAGTCCTGGAAACTGACAAAGCTACTCTTTGAACTACTTCAGCAGACTTCCTTGAAACTTCTAACATGGAATTTTCTTTTCCTTATAACCCTAATGTTAGCAGAAGGATGAGCTATGAGCACTATTGGCCCAACCAGAACTAAGTGTTATTCATAAGGATATTGTACAGTTATCCTGTGACTCAGTCCTCAAATTATTTTTGTTCCAAAGATAAATTTTCTCAGGTCACAAGAGGTAATACTGCCTTTCTTTAGTCCTTATCCCTTCAAGCCTCTTGAAAAGATTGGGCATAAATGCATGTAAGCAGGACACACACACAAAAGAAATGTTCAGATATATCGTTGCCTTGTTTGTGTCCTTCGAACTCCCACCATGGGAAAACAGGATTTTCTAAGTCCTCTCTGTTTAGGTGCCTGATAGCATTTGTCCTATCAGAGTTAAGATTGAAGGCTGATGTGAGGCATCACTGCTCACTCTCCTAGACATGTGGCCACATCAACCACATTTCATACTAGCTCCCCACTGGAGGAAGTTTGCATAGTGGCCCCTTGGAAGGTACACCCTCCCTTTGTCAGGCAGTACCGCAAGAAATGCTTACCTCAGCTGAGGTGGCATTGGGAGAAGAGGCCTTAAGCAGGTGAAGGACTTCTCCAAAGTCCAGTTCAAATGTTTTTTTATACCTGTAGGGGGTAGGTGAACCTCTCCTCGATCCCACCCTAGGACATTAGGCTTTGGAAAGTCCCATCTCTTGAGGATGTCCTTCTCTGCTACAGGAAATAGAAACATTGGTACTCACTGTGAGATGTTCATTTTATGTAGCAGGAGGAGGACATCCTCCCCCTCCCATGAGTTACTATGAGCAGATCCTTGGAGGGACACCTACAGTGTCTGTTTTTTCTCAACTGTACTGTATTGATTATATTATTCCCTGTTCCCGGTGGCTGGAGGCGGACTGTTTCAGCCAGAGTTGGTTGCTCCCTCTTAAGGGAGTCCTACTGCTACCTGATTGGTTGATCAGTTCTGCCAGTGGAAGCAAGTAGGAGGGGCAATCTCATCTCTTAAGGATGTCCTCCTGCTATATAAAATGATCATCTCACAGTGAGTACCAATGTTCCTTTTCATGATTCCAGCTGTACATTCCTTTTTGCAGATGAACTTGAGATGCTTTCTGAGGCTAGAGCTCGTTTGGCTAACACTCAGGGGAAAAAAGCCAAAAGGAAAGCAAGAGAGAAGCAGTTGGAAGAAGCCAGGTAAGCATAGCTCACCAGATATTAGTTGGCCCAGCTAAAACGGTTTCTAGTCAGAATTTAGGTCAAAGCGGTTTGGTTTTCAGTTGCCCTGCTTTGAAAATCTGACCGGTTTGGTTTAAAAAACATATCATGATAAAATTAAGAAAGGTCATGAATGTCAGCACAGCAGCTTTACATTGCTGCCCTTCCCCCCCCTTTTCCCATTCACTGATGTTGGGGCCACATCACTAGTTCTTTGTGTTAAAATACTGTTAAGTTCATCTACTATGAAGCTGATTTCGTTTTGGTTGCTGGTGTATCAGGCTTCAGTGTAAAGAAAGGCTGGGAACTAGTGGTCTAAACAATTTAAACAGTGTACCACATTTAAGAGAAACATCAGCAGTATGCTGGAAGATGGCTATTCAGATGTAATAAATAGAAAAGGATTTTTCCCCCTAATTATTTCCCAGTCATTGACTTGTCTTACAGGTCTCCGAAATTTTCATGCAGCAGTCATGTTAAGAAGTTGTGAAGCCGTCATGGTGACTCTGCATACCTGTAGGTTAAGAGGACTTTTCCCCAGAAGTAAGATTCTGGGTAGTAAGAAGTAATAAAATAGAATGAGTCTTGTAGATAAAATTTTATTGGCCAGAATTCATTTGGCAAAAAGCTGTGCATGCAAGGCAATGTGCACTGTTGTTTTTGTTGCCTGTTGCTTCTTTGTGCATTCTATATTTCAAGTTGTGTGCCTGATTTTGCAATTACGGCACTATTGGAGCACAGCAGAGTCTTTGGGATGTGAGAAAAATGTACAAAATTGCTTTTCTACGATTGCACAAGTAATCAGGATTCTGACCAGTGACTTACAAATCTACCCACCAAATACAGTGGTGCCTCGCATAGCGATGTTAATTCGTTCCAAAAAAACCCACATCGCTATGTGAAACCATCGCTATGCGAAACACCATTTCCCATAGGAATGCATTGGAAACCGGTTAATCCGTTCCAATTGGAACGGATTGCCGTTGTTAAGCGAAAAAACCTATAGGAAACATCGCTAAGCGAAACAATGTTTCCTCCATTGGAATGTATTGAAGCTGACTCAATACATTTCAATGGCTTTACGAAGTCAATTTTTGCAAAATTAATGTGTCATAAAAGGGTCAAAAATGCTTTTAAATGCTTGGATTAGCTTCTGCACC